AAATGCTTCGTTTTTAGGAAAATTGCACATGCGTGTACATAGACAAATTTGTAACAAAAGATTATTTTCTTAAAAATGGAGCTCCAGATGGAAAAACTTTGTTCCACATTTTTTGTTCATTTTTTCGCAGAATAGAATAATCTCTTATTTATTCTCCACTCAATGTTATCCAATATTATGAGATAATGCAGAGCTTGCTTCAAAGCACGAAGTTCATCGTAAATCTATCTCCGGTATGTTCGCGTACTCGTGCATCCTCATATTACATGAGAAATTTCGATTCATTCGAGCGACGTACCGCGTATAATTTTTCTTTTCTCTCACAAATGTCTCAAAAAAGAAAGTTTCTATACTCGGCACACAGTGTACCTAATATCTTTGCAGGATGCTCGTAGCTAAGGGTATAAATTTCATGGCAGCTTTAAGGTATTATGCATTGTAAGACAAATTTGGACAAATTTATATTTATGGGAACATGGCGTATTAGATACCTGCCGCTATCTGTCACAGACGTGAAAGATTTTGAACTGTTGATCAATTGTTCAGTCATTTTATCGTTACAATGCAAGGTGGGTCAAAATTGGTCCAAATAACACAAATGAGGTTAGACAAATAGTATGGCTCCAAGATGAAAATTAAGCCTTTCGGGGATGGTATGACACTCATAGATCATAATGAGCTTATTTTTCTAAGCGCGTCTATTGTAGGTCATGATGAGTTTATTTTTACGAGCGTATAATATTCAAAGGGTTAAAAAGGGTTAAGAATAAGGAAATCGAGATTAATAATCAGTGATTTATAGAGATTTATAGTGATCAAATCATGGTAACATCGTGTAGGAAGTGATCCTACAGGCAAGAATAAATAATAAATATTCATAGATTATAAATTTTTATGCAGTTTTATATTTTTATAGATACGAAGTGCCCATTAAACCATGGTACTGTAGAATAAAAGGCTACATGCAGGAATAAATCGAGAAAGGAGAGCAATACTTTTTTTTTTATTTAAGACATTGTTTTCGAGAAAATCGAGTTAGAAAATTTATCAAATATATAAATAGTGAAAAATCAACAAATTCATTCAATCTTTCTAGAACTGAACAACGATATGAATTTATGCGCTTACAAATACATAGCCCATGCTATGTATCATAGAATTATATTTTGTTAAATTATCAGAATGATAAAGTATTTTCATTTGTTTAGAAAAGATAATTTTTTGAATGTTCTTTCGGTAAATTTTGAATAAAAATTATAAATACTTTAGCACAAGTGTAAATAGTATCGACATGCGAAAAGATTTTTCGCAAGAAAACATAAGAAATGTAGAATAAAATTTTTCGTAAGATGCTTCGTTCTCAAGAAAATGAAATTTGATAAATAATAATTTGTAGCTGAATTTGATAATTATGTGTATTAATAATTTTATTTATTCTTTTATAATGTGCATTTTTTGGACTCTTTCTTTACATAAATAAATACCTGCATAAATACACATTTAATTATTTAATTACAACTCGCATGTTTCTATTGATAATTAATACAAACAATGGATTACCAATGATAAGTGGTGGTAAATATTTGCCTGTCAAAATGTAGCATTATTTAGCTGCCACTGGAGGGACGAATTTCAATTTCAAGTAGAGAGCAATCAATTATATGTAAACTACTCTCGATTTCAATTACAAGCATCATTGTTAAACATACAGTACTAAGTGGCACATATTCAAACCGGTGATTCTTATTTTCAAATTGTTTTGCATCGATATATTATCGAATAATAGCATCAGGTTTATTTTAAACGAAGTTTTCAATGTTCGTTTTCATTGATTATCGAAACGTTGCTCATCTTTCATAATTATCTTCGAGTGATTATAAATCAGGTGGTTGTTAAAGCTGATTTTTTTGTTGAAGAATGTTTTCTTTTAAATATACTTTAATTAGCGGATTGCGGATTTTTATGCATTTATAAGAAACTTCGAAGTGTGAAAAACGTAGAAAATCCACAGAATATGAATAAAAATATATAATATTCTAAATGTATCGTTGCTTATAATATTTGGTAAGTAAAACAGTTTTCTACTTATATTTAAGTTTTTTTTTTCTTTAACTGACTGAGTTCATGAAAATGAAAAATTGCATCAACATCCGCAGTCTAGCAATTAGGTACTTATTAAAGCAGATTTATTTTACGCGAAATTCGAAATTATATCCTGATATTTTAATTTTTCAACTTTTAAAAAGCAATTCCTAAGGTACATTTTTTTTAAGTGATGCAATTAAATAATGTTGCATCAGAAATTTTATGAGTTCGTTAACAAAAAAAAAAATAATATTACTTCTAACTACATTAAATTACTTCACTTGGAAATCGAATAACTTTTTAACTTGTTTCAAATATTTTTTTCAATAGCAAAAGTTTCGAAAGATAATTTTGCATAATGATAAAATGTATTCGTAGTTTATTTATTTTGAAAGAAAGATGTGCAAGATTAATTTTCACGGGACGATCAAACATATAAAAATAAGCTAAAAACGGAGAATAAAATTTTTTCGTTTAACACTTCGTTTTCGAGAAAACTGAGTTTGAAAATTTGTCGAATATACCTGAATTTAATTTCACATTGAACATTGAATAAAATAAACAGTGAGGATATTCTACGTGTAAAAATGAATAAAAAGTATAGAATAAAATTTTTTTCATTCGAAACTCATTTTTCACAGACTTTCAATGTATTTTGAATTTAAAATTGGCCTGGTGCGTACATATGTAAATGATAAATTCAAATTTAAGTGAAACGTTTCATGAAAAAATTTTATTTCACAATTTTGAATTATTTTCGCATGTGAAGTAATATCCTTTTTTTAACCTAACGTGCAAAATAATGCCCCGAGTTAGTTTATTTATTTAAATATTCAAAATCAATTTTCTAAAACCTTGTATGAAAAAATTTCTTGTGTACTTTCTGCTCATTTTTGCACGTAGAAAATCACTATCTTCCCAGTTACACTATAAAAATTAAAATATCTATACTCTTATATCTATACCTCTTTTTAACTAAACAATTTGATTCAGAATATTTATTGTAAATTACGATTAGTTCAATTCTGAGATCCGTCGTGTTGTGCAAATTATTTAATAATTAGTCGAATTTTACATGTATATAAATTATAAAAATTCTTTTTTGAAACATAATGTTATAATAATTTATATTTATTATAGTGAAGTGAAAAAAATAAAACAATACATTTCTTTCTGAATTTTCAGTGAGTCCTTACTTTAATTCTTAATTAATGCAATCTTTCTTTCTAATTTTTAATCTTTTAAAATTCCAGTGAGTTCTTACTTTAATTATTAATTAATGCAATCTTTCTTTTCTAATTTTTAATCTTTTAAATTTTTTTAAGCCATAGATTTCAACAGCAGGTAATCTAAGAGTCAACAAAAATTTCTATTAATCTTCAAATCGTAAATTGTTTCGTCCATTCAGTTTCCCTGTATACTTTATTCCTGGTATCGGAATATTTCGTATCAGATAAAGCAATCGAATCTAAAACCGATATATATTTACTTTATAACGTGGCGCTAAAATTACATTGTGCATCTCTATGAACAAGGTGTCAGCTGTATCATAAATCGATTTTAGCCTTGATTACAACCTTCATTTTATATATTCCTATATATATTTAGAAAGATAACCTTTATGGTGAAATTTATTCACGGAGTGTGGAACATAAATCGAGGACATTCCATTCAAGATCGATTTTCTTATGGATAATAATAAATACCGGAAATTTATAGACACAAACAATCATGATTAACTGCGACATGATGAACATTTGACGATAATAGATATAATTAAATTGCGAATGGAAAATTTCAAAATTGCAAAATTGGAATGTTCAAAAGTATTACATCGTTGCAGATGAAATAGCGAAATTCTCAATAAAAAGTTTTTATGTTTGTAGTCTTTTTGAAAATAATATTCACTCTTAACTGTGCTACGATCATTGAATTCTTACATTTCAATTTTATACTCAGTTTAACAAGCGAAAAGTGTAAGCGACGAGCGTAATACTTTAAAAAGATGTTTAACATAAAATTTAACCGATGATAATTATATATTAACATACTCTCCCAAGTAATTAAATTTTAATAAAATGATAATAATTGATAATGAAAAATATTATTTTTGTCATCTAGTCAGAATTAATTGTCAAGTTTTATAAAAAAAAAAGACACTGAATTCTATATATTTATTTTAAAATGTAGTCTTAAT